TAATTTTTTAAATATTATTTTAAAAATTAATATTTTAATAAATTTAATAATATCAATAGTGATAATAAATCCACCGCTTTAGTCATGGTATTGGAATTTAAATTTAATATGTACATATTAAGCCTATTTGCTTGCTCAAGTGATAGGGCCTAATGTTTTTTCTTACTGTGTAAAAGTCTGAATAGAAAATTGCAATAAAAAAGTGATATAATGCTAAAAATTCAATTGGACTTTAAACTTCAAAGGTACAAAGCGGATTGTAACAGGCGCTTCGGGTTTCAAACAATGGCATTTATTTAAGGCTAGCATTACCGTCATTAGAGGTAGCCTACCAAAAATGAAATGATGATTTTGGTCAAGTAAGACATACCAGTTGCCCTTATCTTTATTTGGTCTTGACTTTGGACGAACTCCCAAGGTCAATGCCACAAAGAAAATTAAAACTTGTTACAGGGTGTTGAAAAACTCTGCTATAGATGTTGTTGAAGTTTCTAAATATAAAAATAGCTATTTATTCTGTTGTTATACTTATTATGCAAGTCATTTGATTTCTTAATTGGAGGATTTGTAGAAATGTTAAAACATTTAGAAATTGATAATTTTTTTTTGTAAATAATATAAGTATTTGAATTTTTTATTCAATTAATCTCACAAATGCTTATAAACTGTCTTATTTATAAATTTTAAACAAAATTCCAAAAACTTTATTCTATAAGCTACAAATTTAGAGTTTTAGATTCTAATCTTTTAAAAATTAAAATCATCTTCCAATGAGGGCTTTAAGAAAAAAACTCGTATGACATAACTTTAGAAACAGTAATAGGAGGAAATGGTTCTGTCTATCTCATCAATGCCATGAAACTTCTTGTTCATTGTTAAAGAAATGTGAAAAGGATAATCTATGGGTATATATAAGTGTTTGTTGAGTCAATTTAATTAAACATAAATTAAGTATGGCCAATGCTGGAGTTTGAAAAGAAGATCTGAAGTAAACAGAATTAATTTTTGAAGTATCCATCTTTTACATGTGGAAAACAGAACACATAGTTGAATTCAAATTACGACAGCTTCTGAAGAGTTGAAAGTGGATGGAGCCACCTCCCCTGTTCCCATTACCAAAACTGGCTAATTAAAGCTAATAACATCTCCTCCTTCCCAATAATTTTACAAGGATTTTGAGAGGTTTATTTTATCCTCCTGAGCTTTTTAGAATAACATTAAGAAAAATACTACCTGCCCTCGGCTCATGATTGTTTCAAATGCAATTTTCTTTTTAAAAAAATCAAAAATTAAAAGGACTAATGAGATGAGTACTAATTGTGCACTTAGATTATACCTAGTACTGATTGTGCGGTCAGGTCATACCCCTATTGCAGATGGCACTCCTTTAACGTTAGTTGACCGACTAGAAGAAAGTGACAGAACAAGGTTCTTGAAAATTGTAAAGATTGAAATCATAGGCAATCTCCCAAATTTCAAAAGGAGAAACAACAAATTCTAAAATGCCTATGCATTGAATTTTAATATTTAACAGCCGACATTCTGTTACCATTCATGACATAGTGTAAAACAAAGAATTCCAGGTTTCCGGCTTAAACGTCATGGGTCCACAAGATTGCTTTTTGGAAAGCCCCTTGTGAATTGTGATACTATAACTAAGAAACTTTGAATCACCTTTTTGATGGATAGAAACTTTGAATCTTAAGATAGAAATTCATAAGAAAAATAAGAACATCTGTTTACAATTAATTCATAGCATGACAAAAATTCCCTTAGAAACTGCATATTGGTAATTGTTGGGTTGTTGCCTGTCGAGGGAGATATGAACATGATGAGCATCTGCTTGTAGCTATGGACATGAGCACAGCTCTTTGCACATCTTTTGTAGCACGCCTTTTGATTAAAATAATCACATACTTCATAAAGACTGCATCACAAGGCAACATGAGAGGTCCATTCCCTGGCAATCCAAATTCTTCTTCTGCCAATTGAAATAGTTGTGTAACAATTTCGTTCTTGAGGTACTCCAACGGAAGCACGAAGCGCCTCTGATCAGCACTATACACAACAAAGTGACCCTTCTCGATCATTGATGATGTGCTGCAACTATCTGAAGCAACATCTTCAGAAGTTGTCGGAAATGTGATTCTCTTTCGCCGAATGGCAGCTAAATTTTGCCATTTCCTGACCAATTTGATGAGCTTCTTAGCACTGATCATCCTTTTGCTCTTTGAACTTTGAGATAAAATAAAACCCCTAAGATGGTAGAGGAGAAAGAGACTTTAAGGTCTTTAGTTTACTGAATCTGTTGTTCTGCTGTGTTGAATGCAAGAGGTGGGATGGTTATATATATTGACAAAGGCTAAGTTCTGTTAAACGAAGTCACCCTAATGTAGGGATTGATTGGAAGCAAAGCCATGTGATTTGTAGGTCTGAGTTGATATAAGATGGATATGTTTGGAAGGCAATGAAAGTGCTTTGGTTAAATCATATAATTGTAAGGTCCTTGGATCTTTCCTTACATGTGGGTTACCCTTTGTTGGGCTCATTGATACATGACATGTGATGGTTCAATGAGGTGAAGTGTTGGTGGTGTGCATGATTTGCTTCTATCAGGCATTCTGTCCATTTTCTGTTCAAGGTCCTGAGCTGCATAAATCATCTAGAAGCACAAGCAATCATTCTTCGTATATGTGAGGTTTAATCATGGGTGGACATGTTGGGAAGGCATACAAGTGGTTGAATGACATCTTTCACTAGGCCAGCATGAGGCTTTCTCTCATGTGGGTTCCAACTTCCAATTAGGCCAGGTCTAAAAGTGAACCATGCTATCAACACATCTTCTGCCGGATGGTACCACACTACCACGGGTCCTAGTTGTCAAGAACCAAACGTCCATTGATCTTCATTCAAAAAGAATCATTTTTCCCTCTATGGTCTGAAATCCATTTATTTTGATGTCATTTTCCAGACATGTTCTGGATAGACTTACCTAAAAATAGTAAGTAGTTAAATGAGAGCCTACACTAGTGGGGTTATAAGGTGTGAGGCAGGAACCACGAGGTTTGTCCCGATGCTGCAGGCTATAATGCTTTCTAATCTTATCCTAAGCAGGATACGGTCATCTACTTTATCTTATTATAACATGTTTGAGCAATTTCTACTTTCTCCTGCTATGTCTCAGTACTCAGTACTGATAAAATGCAATCTGTAGGTGAAGAATTTATCTACTCAGCAGTGATTAATTTGTTTAGGTTTAAAACTAAGATGATATTTTTCCATTGGCATAACAAGCTTTAATGTCTTTACAAAATGAAGATGAGATTTACCATAAGTGTGCTTTCACAAGTTCATCTGGTTACGTTTGCATTTAGTATTAGGAAATTGTTATGCAAGGACTGATTTTCTTGGGAAGAACCAAATATGAAAACTAAACAACCTCTTTCATTTCCTGATGTATAGAGATATATGTTGCATCTAGAAAATCAAACATATTTTCCTTAGAAACTACTGATTGGTAACTGTTAGCTTTTTGCTTCTTGATGATGATACGAACATGAAGAGCATCGGATGCTAGTCACGGACATGAGTAGAGCTCCCTGCACATCTTCTGCGGCATGCCTTTCGAGCAAAGCAGTCAAATATTCCATAAAGACTGCATCACAAGGCAAAGTGAGAAGTCCATTCCCTGGCAGTCCCCATTCTTCTTCTGCCAATTTTAATAGTTCTTTAACAATTTGGTTCTTGAGATATTCCAAGGGAAGTACGAAGCGCCTTTGGTCAGCACTATACACAAGAAAGTGACCCTTCTTGGCCAATGATGATGTGCTGCAACTCTCTGCATCAATATCCCCTGAACTTCTAGGTAATGTGATTCTTTATCGCCTAAGAGTAACCATACTTTGCCATTTCCTAGCCAATTTGATGAGCTTCTTAGCACTGATCCTCTGTTTTATCTGTAAACTACGGGTGAAAACTTCTAAGAGACGTTAAGATCTCATGTTACTGAGTGCGGTTGTTCTGGTGTGCTGAAGGCAAAAGGGTGTGAATGATATATATATATATATATAGACAAAGCTAAAGATCTGTTAAATGAAGCCACCGAATGCAGCGATTGATTGGAAGCAAAGCCATGTAATTTGTAGTTGAAAGGTGATATCTATCAGCAGGCATGTTTGGAAGGAAATAGAAATGATTTAGATCAATCATATAATTGTAAGGCCACCTGGACCTTTAAGAACGTTATGTTGCAGATTGCTGTTTGTTCTGCCGTGTTGAAGGAAAGAGGACTGGATGAACACACCAAGCCAAAGACAATCTCTTTAATGGAGCCACCTAGCTCAGTGTTCATGGGGAACAAGAACATGTGATTTGTAGATGTGGGGTTAAATCCATTATTGGCCATGTTTGGAATGAAGTACAAGTGGTTGAATCTCATACCTTCTGAGCCAAATGATGAAGAGAGGCTACAAAATGGACACTGCGCTGCGGACTAGATTTACTATTTTAGATGGTATTATGAGTTTGGCAAAACCCCCTAAAATGCCCCCATAACTTACAAAATATGTGGTTTTTCACCCCCAACTAACATTGTAAGGAAATAAGCCCTCCAACTATACCGCAAGGATAAAATATGAGGACAAAGTTAACGCCGCTGATGCACATGACTCACGTGCACGTTAAATTATAGTTCGGTCTTGCCTTGTCAGCCCCACAGAAATGTTGACTTACCGGTTATGTATGATGCCTACATGGAGTTACAAAATTACACATTTGCCATTTTCTTTATTGAATTTTTTAAATTAATAATACATACTTTAATCATTAATTCATAATAAAAATAAAAAAATTAATATTAATATCACATGTGTGTTAATTATTAATATTAAAGTTAAATTTTATTTTTTTGATATAATTTAATAATTAAAAACATATTAATTACTTTTTTAACTTTTATTTATGGTAAAAATATAAAAAAAACTTTATTTATTTATTTAAATTTTCATTTAAACTCTCTAACTTTCCGAGATGACTCTTCTAGATTTTTTTTTTTTTTATTTAGGGAAATTGTTGGGACAGGAAGAGGAATAATACTTAGAAATAAATTCTAAACTTTTCATATTTAAATATATTCTCATAAAAAGAAAATAGTCACTAAATCATATAATGCTTGACAGATAACTTTTCTAAATTAATTTTTTTTCAAAGAATATTAAAGGACGAACACTTGAGAATCATTCACACTGCAACAACCTCGCATACTCAGAATCAATTAAACAATAATATGCTATCCAGACCCAGGGACACTGCAAGCACCACTCGTTTCCAAATGCCCCTCAGCCTCTAACCTCCGTGTGCACGACCCAATCACGCAACTTCAGCACAACATCTTAAGAAGAATCGCGGGGCTTCATTGTTTGCCTTGTCATTAGGTTTACAAGTCAGCGGTTATGTGGCACTGATAAGGCGAGGCCAAACGGCCATCTAACGTAACGTTAATTTTTTTTCTGTCTGTACCTCATACAGGTGGGGAGCTTGTTTATAGGGGGTGAAAACCCGTATATTTTGTAACTTCAGGCCCGTTTTAGGGGGTTTTGCTATGTGTCTCAATGCTGAATCCAACGTGAGCCAGGTTTTGCAGTTTAGATAAATTGTAAAACAAAGATAATTGGATAAGATGGCCGCCTCTTTTAATAATCTTTATTTTGTAGTTTGGTGTAATTTGAATTGTAAACTAATTTTTTAGTTTGTTAGTAGAAGGCTGTCTCTTTTAATAATTTTATTGTGTAATTTAAAGTGATTTAAACTGTATAATAATTTTTTAAAATGCTAGTTGGTATAAATATCATTTTAAAACTGAGATTAACTGATTTTCATAGGAAAATAACCTTTTTCATTACGTTTCCCTATGTACAAAGATATGGAACATCTACAATATCAAGGATGCATATTTTGCTTTAGAAACTGCAGATTGGTAATTGTTGACTTGTTTCCTGCTGATGTAGCCATAGAGATGATGAGCAGCGGCTGCTAGTCGTCATGGACAGGAGTACTGCTCTTTGCACATCTTTGTTGGCATGTTTTTTGATCAAAGAAGTTACATACTCCATGAAGACTGCATCACAAGGCAACATGAGAGGTCCATTGCCTGGCAGTCCAAATTCTTGTTCTGCCAATTCGAACAGCACTCTGACAATTTCATTCTTCAGATATTCTAGAGGAAGCGCAAAGCGTTTCTGATCAGCAGTATAGACAACAAAGTGACCCTTCTCTGCCGTTGATGATGTGCTGCAACTATCCGCATCAACCTCTCCAGTGGTTCTTGGAAATGAGATTCTTTGTCGCCTCATGGCAGCCATTTTTTGCCATTTCCTTGCCAATTTGATGAGCTTCTTGGCAGTAATCATCCTTTTGCTCTAAGATGCTAGATTGGAAAGAGCCCTTGGAATTTTTATGTTACTGAATGCTATTGTTTTGCTGTGTTGAAGGCAAGAGGATTCAATCAAATATATATATTCACAAAGCCAAAGACAATCTCTTTAATGTAGCCGCCTAATGCAGGGCCACATGGGAAACACAGGCATGTGATGTGTAGATGTTAGTTTCAATGTGGAAGTGGGCAGGCTTGGAAGGAAATGCCAATTGGTTGGATCACACATTCAAAAGCCAAGTATGAGGGTTTCTTTCAAGTGGGTTACTCTCTGTTGGTCTGAATTTGTACATCAAAGATGTGATAATTCATTTAGGCCAGGTTTGAGATTGAGAGGTATCATGCTCTTGTTCTGTTAGGTAATCCATGCATGTTCTACCAGATGGTGTAGTGACATCATGGGTCCTAGTCGTCGAGAACCAAACGACCACTGATCTTTCACTTAAGAAAGAATCGCTTCTTTCTTTCTTTCTTTCTTTTTCCTGTGGTGTGAAAGCTCAAATCTATCTACTTTGGTGACATTTGCATTTTGCAAGACAAGACACGTTCTGGATGGACTTACCTAACAAGAAAAACTTGTGCTTCAGTGAAAGCTAGCATTGGTGGGGATATAATGCTTGAGGTAGGAACCAAGAAGTTTATCCCAAAAGACTACCTTTTTATGGGCACTACCTTATCCGGAGGCTGTCATGCTTATCCTACCCTACCACGATAAAGTCACATACTTCATTTGCTGAAGTTTATGAAATTATTAGGACATGTTTAGTAGGATTTCGATTTTATGCCTCAATAATGGGCTACAAACTGTATGTGTACCATATATCTTGCATATAGAAATTTTCACAGTACATCAAAATTCATTTGTTGTAGCTCAAATAATAAAGAAATGACTTGTTAAAATTGGAAACTTCTCCTTTTTCTAGTGTATATCATCCATTGCAGTTTTCCCCTATAATTAATATATTGCTGAGAAATGGGTTTGGAGATTTATTTGAATCAAAGCAAAACATGTCCACAACCAATTAAGGGTTCACTCTCAATTTATTGTGAGATTAATTATTTCCTGTGTAATTTTATAATTAACTAATAAGAGGTTAGGACATGATGATCCAGGACCTGCAAACTAGAGAACATGTTTTTCTGGCCAGATGACGTGTATCTTTTGGTAAAGCTCATTCAGTTTTTTTTTTTTTTAACTGTCAGTGTCTCCCTAGATTGCTCTCATTTAGTACCAATGTTAAAAGTAACAGAACCAAAAATGGAGAAAACTAATCTTCTTTCCATTCTAGAAATCAATGTATAATAAAGGGGATCGTTTACAAAACTCAATAATAACATATGCTCTAGAAGCTACAAATCATTGATCGTGGGTTTCTTGACTCTTGATAGATATATGAAGATGATGAGAAGTGGCTGCTAGCAATGGACATAAGTAATGCTTCCTATACTTGTTCAGTTAGATGCCTTTTGATCAAGGAAATCACGAATTCCATGAAATCTGCATCACAAGGAAATATGAGAGGTCCACTGCTTGGGGTCCCAAACTGTTCTTCTGCCAGTGTAAATAGCTATCTGACTATGTCCTTCTTGAGATAACTCCAAAGGGAGCACAAAACGTTTCTTATCTGCAGAATACACAACAAAATGGCCCTCCTCAGCCAGTGACGATGTGCTGCATCCTTTTGCATCAACATTGCTGTCAATCCTAGGCGATGCTATTCTCCTTTGCCTTATGGAAGCCTGCCTTTGCCATTGCCTAGCCAATTTGATGAGCTTCTTTGCACTGATCATCTTGGTACTCTCTAGGATAAAAGGAAAAGTTTTGAATGGAAGAAAAGCAGAGAACTATTGAGATCTTTGAGTATTGATGCTAATGTTGTTCTGAGTTGGAAGAAATGAAAGGGGTATGAATATCTTTTCCATGGAGAAAGACAGTCCCTTGAATGAAGTTGACCCATGCAGGGCCTCAATGGAAGCAAAGCCATGTGAAAATTGGTAGAGATGCAAGGTGGTGAGGATATTTGTGAGGTGGGCAAGTTTGGTTCTATCTAAAAATTAACACATATAGGTGGAGCACATAGAGAATGGACTGTGTCCTTATCTATCTGTCCGGTAGTTTCAGTAACAATATGAATCAATTATAGGGCTCATGATCACAATTTCCAGACAATCTTCCTGTACCAGAAAAACCAAGCATAATTGAAAGACAGAAGTTAGACACAGTCAAATGTGCTTGTTTCAGCGCAAATTTGGTAGAATAGCAAAGCATGTCCGACCCCATTTTTAGGAACTGATTCTGATTTTGAAGGAAGGATCCGAGGGACAGAGGCACAAAAGATGCCAGTTGGATGGGATTCACTATTGATGTAAGGCAAAATATCTTCTCTGAGCAAGTTTTAGTAAGGTACCATTTTCTGCAGGAAACCAACTTATGACTTCCAAAAGTATTTTTCTTATGTTACTAAAACAGAAGAATCCTGATACAATAACAAAACATTTTTTCCAACTAAAAGAACTCCAACTGTGTAGGTTCCTTTAGGAGGATAGCAATGAATCACAATTTCTTGACTGGCTATTAAATGGTCTAAATTAGAAAGTCAACTGATCATATACAGAGAGCCTGACTCACTTAACAGCTGCAAACAAGTAATTTCTGCATATTCTGTGGTTCATAGAAATGATATGGTAAGGAGAAGTTTCTAGAAGTTATGGAGACGAGCAAAACTTTCTCTAGATCTTTAGACACTCCATGTGCAATCAACAAGATTATGTAGTCCATGACTTCTGATTCACATGGCGATGTAGTAGGTCCATCGCCTGGAAATCCAAATTGCTCTTCAGTGATTTTCAGGAGTTCACTGAATGTACTATTGCCAGGATACTCCAATGGGATAACAAAACGTTTTTGATTAGTTGTGTTGATCACAAAATGACCTTTATCTGTTTGAAGTGTTGGTAACACAATTCTCTTCCTCTTTATAGTGGCTAATTTCTGCCAATTCCTTGCTATCTTGAAGAGTTTCTTGGAACTTATCATATTGGATGAGGAACAGATAGAGAAGAACTAGAGCAAGAATTGGACATTTTGTATGCTTAGAGCGATGCCAAAATGGAAGTTTTGTGGTAGTTTGAGAAATGCAAGGGCTGGTGAGTTCCTTATATAGTACCAAGCTGGTCCAAGCTTCACAAATGCTAAAGGATCTGTTGTACCATTTTACAAGGAATTTTTTTTTTTTTGGCTTAATAGAAGGAATTAAGTACCATATTACAAATTACTTTGTCCCTTCATCCATAGAAAATGACCAACAAAGCATTTTGGTTCATTTGAAATTTAATGCAGTGTTATGTACTGCAGGCCCTAGTAAAAACAATAGAAGAATAATCTTTGCTTCTTGTTATCAACACCAGAGTTGTATGGACAACACTTAATTATTAAGTCTTCCACTTGTAAAAGCTTGTCAGATTAAAGATTGTACGTGCCTTTTTTTTTTTTTTTTCTGTCATCTTCTATTTGAGTATTTAAAACCAGTTGGTTTTGATATTTCAAGGTTTATCTCTGTACTTTCTAGTGATACATTCACACTTGACCATATAAACTAATTAATTTAGTTCATTGCCATACACAACTTCCTTTGACATATATATATGTATAAATGAAAATAAAATGGACAAAATTTATTTATAAAATTAAAGTGAACACGAGATTTGCTATCAGTTCTTCTGCCTGAAGAAATCATTACAGAATTCTCATTTTAAATGTAAGTGTACAATAGAAGGGAGCATTTACAAAGTAAATGACTATGCTTTAGAAGCTACAAATTATTGATGGTTGACTTCTTGATTCCTGATGGAGATATGAAGATGACGAGCAGCGACCACTAGCTATGGACATAACTAATGCTTCCTCTACTTCTTTAGTTAGATGCGTTTTGATCAAAGAGATGACATATTCCATGAAGGTTGCATCACAAGGTAATGTGAGAGACCCACTACTTGGTATCCCAAACTCTTCTTCTGCCAATCTGAATAGCTCTCTGACTATATCCTTCTTGAGATACTCCAGAGGGAGAACAAAGCGTCTTTGATCCATAGAATACACAACAAAATGGCCCTTCTCAACCACAGATGATGTGCTGCAACTATTTGCACCAACACCTCCAACAAAATTCCTAGGCAGTGTTATTCTTTTTCTCCTAATGGCAGCCATTTTCCGCCATTTCCTTGCCAATTTGATGAGCTTCCTTGCAGTAATCATCTTGAGACTCTCTAGAATGAATTGAAAACTTTAGAGATAGGAGAAAAAGAAGAGACTTTGAGATTTTGGTATTGGTGCTATTGCAGTTGTGGATTGAATGCAATGAAAGTGGGATGAATATATAACCACAAAGCCAGAGACGCTCTTTAATGAGGTTACCTCAATGTAGTGGCTTAAGGGAAGCAAAACCATGTGAAAATTGATGGATTCAATGTGGCGGGGTCTGTTAGGGAGTTGGGCATGTTTTCTTTAACAATCAGGTAATAAAAAGCACATGCATAGGTGGAGCCAATATGGTAGGCACCATATCCTTTCCTATCAGCCTGGTGTCCGACACTATCATGCTTTTGTTACATGGCTCACCATAATCTTTCTTTAAGTCGAATACAATTTTTAGACAAAGTAGGCAGAGTTAGTCATTCTTATTTCTCTATATGTATTTTGTCAAAATAATATCAGTAGGACCCGACATGTCTATGAACAGAGAATGATTTGCAAGAACGGATCTACCACTTGAATTATAGTTGGATTAGGTTCATAATTATTTATGGGAAAAAAACCTTTTTTAATGCAAATTTAGTTAAAGTAATTTTTGCAGGTCTCTTGACATTTATGCTGAGTATATTCCTTATGCAACAAGCAAATTATTTTCCTTATGGCAAATGCAACAGCCTAATTCAAGCAAATACTTTCTTTACAACTAAAAGAAATTTTACAATATGCATGGGATTCAATGCATCAGAATTCCTTTACAGGTACATGTCAAGCTAATATCCAAGGCCTGGCTCTGTTAACAAGTGCAAACAAATAATTGCTGCATTTTCTGTTCTTCATGTGAAAAAGATGATATGGACCAGTTACTAGAAGCAACTGAGGATAGTAAACCTTTCTCTAGATCTTTAGATGCACCACCACGAGCAATCAACAAGAGTATGTACTCCATGATTGGTGACTCACAAGGCAATGTGATAGGGCCATCTGTTGGAAAGTCAAACTGCTCCAGACAATTTTAGGAGCTCACTGAAGATCCCATTATTGAGATACTCCAATGGAATCTTGAATCTCTCTTTATCAGTTGTGTAGATTACAAAACGGCCTTTATTACAGGGGATGGTAGCAGCTTAAAACCCTTCCTCTTGAGAGTGGCTAACTTCTGCCAATTCGTTGTAATCTTGATTAGTTTCCTGGAACTAATCATCTTGGATGGTTCAGATTAATAACTAGTGCAAGAATTGGACTTCCTATGTGTTTCTGTATATTTTCTCTCAACTGGGGTGAATGCAGAATGAAGTAATCCTTATATAGTAACAAGCCCCATGGACTTTCTATATGTTTGTAGCATTTTACAAGGAATAACTTTAACCACATTATTCAAGTCATTTTGTCCCTTTATCACCTAGGAAATTATAATCAAAGCACAGTGTGCCTGCAATTGTCTTTTTGCAAGACTGCATTCCCTTGTGTAAACCTATAACAAGATTATAGTTGATCTGGTCTTATGCTTCAACTGTTTTTTGCCATTGTTTACAGGTATACTGTTTTGATTCCAAGTTTGTTAGAGTACAGATTTTGTGGAGCTTCTTTTGTCACCATTGTTATTGTAACAGTTAGTTTCTGCAAATAACTGATAATCCAAGGTAGTTGTTGTTGCTTTTTGTTATGCATTCCTCTGGAGTCACCCTCTTGTACAGGAAGTCAGCTTGATCACATAATCTAATTAATATTGTTTCATCTTGTAATTGACTGTTTTTCTTAAGCCAATATCCAAGTATGTGACATATTGGACAAAGAACAGGATACCAAAAATTCATATGGAACAAATCTTCAATGTTCAGAGGGAAGATCAAGAAGGAAAATCTTCTAAGTTTTCCCCTGGTTTTGGCATGTGTAGTTGTGTACATAGAGGTCATTTACAAAATTCAGTTATGATGTGGTTTAGAAGCTACAAATTAATGATTGTTGGTTTCTTGATTCTTGATGGAGAAGTGAAGATAATGAGCATTGACCACTAGCTAGGGATGTGATCACTGCCTCCTATACTTCCCTAGTTAAATGCATTTGATCAAAGAAATCACATATTCCATGAAAGCTGCATTACGAGGCATTTTGAGAGGCCTGCTGGTCTGTGAGAGGCCTGCCGCTTGGTATCCCAAACTCCTCTTCTGCCAATCTGAATAGCTCTCTAACTATATGCTTCTTGAGATACTCCAAAGGAAGCACAAAGTGTCTCTTATCTATAGAATACACAACAAAATGGCCCTTCTCAACCAATGATGATGTGCTGCAACTATCTGCATCAACATTGTCCATTGGTAATGTAATTCTCTTTCGCTTGATGGCAGCTAGTTTTCGCCTTTTTCTTGCCAATTTGATGAGCTTCTTTACATTGATCATCTTGATACTATCTAAAGGAAAAGTTTTGAGCTATTGCTGATCTGTGTTAAAGGTAATGAAAGAGGGATGAATATATAACCACAAAACCAGAGACAGTCTCTTTAATGAAGTCACCACAATGCAATGGGTCAAAGGAGGCAAAACCTTGTGAATAATGGTAGATGCAAGGCGGTAGGGGTTGTTTGGAGGTGGGCATGTTTGCTTAAATTTGACAATCACCTAATCAACTCGCACAGGTGGATAGCAAATGTACAAGACATCGCGTCCTTAGCAAGTGTTTGACATTGATTTATTTCAATTATATGGCTTATAATCTTTCTTCAGTCAAAATGAAATTTATAGACAGCAAGCTAAGTCGCCCATTTAAGTTTCTCTGTGTATTTGATAAATTGACAAGATAATTTAATGTTGAAAGTGTTACAATGCAGAAAATTTGTTCATCATTTACTGTATGATTCATTTAACAAGTGCAAACAAGCAATTGTTGTGTCTTCCATTCTTGATGGGCAAGAGACGATATGGAGCAGTTGCTAGAAGCAACTGAGGCAAGCAAAGTCTTCTCTAGATCTTTAGACACACCACATGCTATCAACAAGATTATGTACTCCATCACTTGTGACTCACAAGGCAATGTGATAAGCCCATCTGCTGGAAAGCCAAATTGCTCTTCAGACCTTTTCAAGAGCTCACTGAAGATCCTATCGCCAAGATACTCCAAAGGAATCATGAAGTGCCTTTTATCAGCTGTTTAGGCTATAAAATGGCCTTTTTCAGCTGGGACTGGAGATAGCACAATTCTCTTCCTCCTGGGTGCAGCTAACTTCTTCCATTTCGCAGCAATCTTGGTGAGTTTCTTGGAACTCATCATGTTTGACGATTTAGAGGGAGAAGAAATGAAGTTGAACTTAGTTTTTGCTTCAAAAGAGATCAAGTTCTACGCTTGTGCTAGCTGATGGAAATTCAAGAGGAAGTTAATTCCTTATATAGTCCGAGCCACATGAACCCTTGATGATCTGTGGTAGCAGTTAACAAGCCAAAAGAAGCCAAACGCAGTGAACTAAGTTACAGGATACTCCTAGGTGTTTGTATAAGACTGAAATCCCTTGGATAAAACTATAGCAAGAGTACGGTCATTATGTCATTTAATTAAGGAAAAAATTATTTGATTTGGAGTTCCTTTTGTTTATCAGTACAGGAAGCTTATTAATCTAAGCATTTTATGGTTGGTCACTGTCAGTTTTTAGTTATGCATTTTGTCATCCCACCTATGAAAATTCCCTTGATTGTAGAGTTCTAAGTTACTTGGATCATAGAATTCAAGTACTTTGTCTCATTTCCCTCATATAACAGAACAGAACAAGTTGTGGTGCGTACCATTAGAATCCTTCCTTGGAACACTCGCCTAGCAGCTTACCAAAGTTTCTTGTGTAGTTCCAGTCATTTTCCCTGGTTCTAGAATGCGAGAAATGGACATCAAAGAAAATTCAACTTCCTTTGGCAGGAAAACACCAGAGAAGAAAAAAGAAGATCCACAAAAAAGAAAACTGAAACTGCCAAAATCTAGTTTTGCCAGTGTGGGGAAAACAAGAAGGATTGACAAACTGAGAGATATCATGCTCCATAAGTTTCTTCTTACTGCAGTTTTATCTGTTAAATTTATGAATAAAGTCTGAGCATCTACTACCATTGTTAATAAGAGAGTTTGTCTCATTAACAAAATGGACTATGCCATGAATATACGCCAGGAATATCTCACTTTGTTTCTGACTTGGAAAAGTATTGAAGCGATTTCTTTATAACTGAAAGGAAAAAGTAATTTACATCAAAGTAGACACATGATGTCTTTAAATTAGTTTATGTAAGGTGTTTACAGTGAATTCCAAAATCTCTTGGTTGATTTTTAATCTATAGAATAGAATTCTTAGAGTTACAGGTATAAACAAACTTATGAACAAGTAAATGATGAGCAGCCACTGTCAGTAATGAACTTGATCAAGACTTGCTAGAGATTTGTAGCTACATCTTGTTGGATGAGGCAAACTATGTAATTAATGAGCACTGCATCACAAGGAAACATTATAGGTCCATCACTGGATGGTCCAAACTCCTCTTCAGATCTCTTGAAGAGCTCCAGAACTATGTTGTTGTTGAGATATGAGAAGGGGATGGAGAAACGCCTCCTATCCATGGTGTATATAACAAAATGACCTTTATCAGCAAGTTGCAATGAACTAAGCCTGTATGCATCGATCCCTCTCATAGATATTCTGAATGATCTGTTCTCTAATGCAGCCATCTTTTGTAACTTCATTGCGGATTTGATGATCATCTTAGTGGGGAACATGCTTTCTTTGATCACTTGATGCAACCAAAAGGGCATATTTATATAAGCTTCTTTTCTCTAGTTATTTTCTAGGCAAGAACTTCTGACTCTTTACATTGGAATATATGTTTTCTTGGCCGTTTGGTGCCGAATGATTGCTACATTAAGCTCAAGAAGGCACAAAAAGGCAAATACTTATTGATACTAAATATAGAACTTCTTTAGATAATCTCATTGTCATCTAAGAGCCTACTTTGGAGGGTTATGCAAATGCAAGGTTTCATTCCCAGGATAGAATCACTCTAGTACCGATATGGTACAATACATATACCACAAAAACATAGTACAACTACGGAACTCAGGGAGATTATTTCAAACATATCGACCTTTTTTAACTTAGATGACATAGAACTGCAGCATTAAGAAACATAGAAATAAGATAGGAAACAAGAGTTTTATATTTTTTACATTGTTGATAAATTAAGAGGTGTTAATTTAACTACTGGGGTTAGCTGATAGCTTTCTTCACCTAGAATTACATTTCTAACATCTAAGCAAAATGAGGCCTATGTCATGAATTGTCCAAATAAAAGAACAAGTTACTCAAGGGTAATAGTATGGTTCATGAAGGGGTTTACTTAATACCTTAAGTTTGATTTGGAAAACCATAAAAGAGATTTGGTTGGCCTATTTTTTATTGTATTATAAAAATAAACTTTAATTAAATTTATGAAAATTGACTTATGATATCACTTAACGTAATGAAATAAAAAAATATTAAATTATTTAAAATTAAATCTTGTAAATTTTTACATGTACATCTTGTAAATGGTGGTAGTAAGTGGTTCTACATGTTGGAATAAAAATTCATTTTTTGTTGAATTAATTTTTTTCTCTGTTAAGATCAATTTTTTTTCTCTGTTGAATTAAATTAAGTACATATATTAATCCTAACCAACTCTAGGTTTCAAATTAAATATTGTAATTTTTGTGAAGAAAATTCTTGTAAATTCCAAAGCTTTAAATTTCTAAATCTAGTCTAAAAAATATCCAATTATTTATTATTTATTTTATATATTACAGTCAAATATGTGGACATGAAAGGGCTTATCTCTCTGTGTGACCAACTTACCAAAACGGCTCCTTTGTGAAACACAAAACATCGAGTTAACCCAAGGAACGGAGGGAGCCATGGCGGGCCTGCTACTGCCACACTCGCCACACTGCTTCCATGGACGCAAATTTCTGGACCCATTTCCCTCTTCCTCAATCTTATTTCCTAAACCATCCCTCCCAACCCGCATTAGGGACAGTGTTCATCATCGTAAATTCCTCTCTTCTCTACTTCAGTGCTTCAATTTTTTTTTAGATTTCTTTAGCTCTCAAGTTTGAGTTTTTTTAGCTGAATTAGACAACTTTGAACTATGGTTTGCTTTATTTTATCTAAAGCACATAGCTTTGCGGGTCAGTGGTCCAATTTTTCATGGTTGATTAGCAGCAATAATGTTGAAAAGTAAAAAAATTGGTCTGTAAAGTGTTCAGTTTTGTTCCTGTAATTGATTTATTGTTTCCAATTTGTTTAACCCGCCTGATTTTGATGAGTTGCTTGCTCTTTTAGCTCCATGTTAGCTTTACCATCTTTAGCTCACCAGGTGTTTGTTGATTTGTCTTGTTAATCTAATGTTGATGTTGGGAAAAATGCAGGCTTCCTTACAGGAACGCTAGCTCTACTCTCTCCTAGTATCTTGTTCTGCAGCAACAATAGATTGACTGCAGTACATGGCAGTCAGTTTAGCACAAGAACAAAATCAGGTTGGTTTGGCTATTTATATAGAGTGTGAGTCATTATTAAGTTTTCCTAGTCAAACTCGAAGGATGTGCTACTTACACGTCAATTTTCAGCATCGGTACAGCCTGTGACTGAGGAATTGGAGGAAAATAAGTCCAAAGATCCCCTTGTCAGCGGGGATTCTATTCGACGTCGATTCCTTGATTTCTATGCTTCCCATGGCCACAAGATTCTTCCAAGTGCTTCTCTTGTGCCAGATGATCCTACTGTTCTATTGACAATTGCAGGAATGGTTCAGTTTAAGCCAATATTCCTCGGAAAAGTATGGTATAAAATATAAATGTATAAACTCGGATATGGGTTTTTGCTGTTTTTACCTTAGTGAACCTAGATAGATTTATGAAGTCATCAAAGGACATCACTAAGAACCTTTAATTCTTATGCTATCTGATGAGATTGCTAACATATAAATGGCACAATCTACATTTTGGAGATCACTATTAAATAAACTAGGAAAGAAAGCTGTTAAAAGACATGATTCTTGTTGAAGTTAACAGTTAAAGCTTAGGCCAACAAAACTGATCCTGACTGATATTATTACCTTTGAGCTTGTAACACATTGCCCTTTTCTTCAAGTGTATTTCTGCTTACATAATCAGGCTTCCTGCTCTTTTTGTGGAAATTTGAAGATTAAGTCTTAGATTGCCCATGCTGGCTTTCATGTTCAGAGTCCTAGACAAGTACCTCGTGCCACTACTGCACAAAGGTGCATACGTACAAATGATGTGGAGAATGTTGGCAAAACAGCACGACATCACACTTTTTTTGAGATGCTGGGAAACTTCAGTTTTGGAGATTACTTCAAGAAGGAAGCAATAAAATGGGCATGGGAGCTTTCAACTGTGGAGTAAGATCCTCAATTGATTCATCTTTCTCATCATGATTGTTGATACTAATTCCATGCTGTATTTTATCTTTTAACAATAGACAAGTAGTTATAACTTATAAATACCATATGTATTTCTAGATTCAGGCTCCCAGCTGAAAGATTATGGGTAAGTGTGTATGAAGATGATGATGAAGCATTTAAAATATGGCAAGATGAGGTAATCAGACAATTCAATTCCTTTTCTCTGCACTGTTATTCATCTTGGTGAATTTCATTTCTTGGATCAAGTGCATAAGTGTTTTCATGCTCTAAATTGATTTCAACAATTGCAAGTTTTCTTCAGGTGGGTGTTCCTGTTGAGCGTTTAAAGAGAATGGGTGCAGATGACAACTTTTGGGCAAGTGGTCCTACTGGTCCCTGTGGCCCTTGTTCTGAAATTTATTATGATCTCCATCCTGAAAGGGGAAATTCTGCAACGGTACTTGCTTTGCCCATAGGACACACTTAGCTTCTTTTTCATTTTCCTTTTTCTTCTTTTTCACTAGCCAGATTAATTTTCAGGATCTTGGGGATGATACCAGATTTATAGAGTTCTACAATCTGGTCTTCATGCAGTACAATAGGAAGGATGATGGATCACTTGAACCCTTAAAGCAAAAGCATATAGATACAGGTCTTGGGCTGGAGCGAATGGCTCGCATCCTTCAGAAGGTATTTATTACCTTTTCTGTCATTTCAATGTGAAATTAATATTTTACTAAGGGCTTCTTTAGTGGAAACAAATGCTAGTTCAGTAGTTCATATGCATCAAATGCATTTCTCCTTTTTAAACTCATAATTCTTTTGCAGGTTCCCAACAATTATGAGACTGACTTGATTTATCCCATTATAGAGAAGACCTCAGAATTGTCTGGTGTCTTCTATGCTCTTGCAGATGAGCAGACGAAATTGAACTTAAAAGTTAGTTATCTTTTAACTATCTGCATATATTTGTGGTTTTTGTTTCATAATATGAATTCTCCCTTTATTTAATGTCTCTCCTAAGTGTTTAATTGAATGTGCATCAACATCCTGTAACATTTTCTGTTGATTTCAGATTATTGGAGACCACTTACGTGCAGTTGTATATCTCTTAGCAGATGGTGTGGTTCCATCGAATATTGGTAGAGGTTATGTGGTTAGACGGCTTATCAGAAGGGTTGTTCGAACTGGCAGGTCTCTTGGTATAAATGGGAATGTAGAGGGTAACCTTGAAGGAGCATTTTTGCCCATCATTGCACAGAAAGTAATAGAATTAAGCACCCAAATAAATCCAGATGTCAAGGTTAGAGCAGCCTTTATTGTAGAGGAGTTGAAAAGAGAAGAACTTCGTTTTGTGCTGACACTAGAGAGAGGAGAAAAATTGCTTGACCAAATGCTAATGGATGCACTGTCTTGTGCTCAAGAAAATGGAACTACCCCTTGGTTGTCTGGACAGGATGCATTTCTTTTATATGACACGTATGGCTTTCCAGTGGAGATAACAACAGAAGTGGCTCAAGAACGTGGTGTCACCATAGATATGAAGGCTTTTGATGCTGAGATGGAAAATCAAAGGCGTCAATCTCAGGCAGCCCACAATGTTGTTAAACTTTCAGCTGAAGATGGTGCCAGTCTTGGAAAAGATGTTCCTGATACTGAATTTATAGGATATGACAATCTTTCTGCTCGAGCAGTAGTTGAAAGCCTCCTGGTAAATGGAAAGCCTGTGATACAGGTTTCTAGAGGAAGTGATGTCGAGGTTTTGCTGGATCGAACACCATTTTATGCTGAGTCAGGTGGCCAAATTGGAGATCATGGTTTTCTTTATGTTAGTGAAGAAAACCAAAATGGCACTATTGTAGAGATCAAGGATGTCCAAAAATCTCAGGGCAATATATTTGTTCACACTGGAACTGTCAGAGATGGGATTCTAGAAGTTGGAAAAGAAGTGGAAGCTGCCGTAGATGCAAAACTAAGGCAGCGAGCTAAGGTAACAATTAACCGATTGTATATCTTTTAATTTAATAACTTCTCCAATTAATTAGTTTATAGAATTTGCATTTTTAAAATTCTAACTTGTTTTCAATACGTTTATCCATTGATGTAGAAATTATTCCCAAAGTAGAAATCAAATAATACAATATATCAGATGGCACACACTACTCACAATTGAAAAATAAACATCCACCATCTTTCTTGCATCTGTTATACTCTGTCACCTGTGATTTAAACCATCGTTGGCATTTTCTCAGGTTCATCATACTGCTACCCATTTGTTACAAGCTGCACTTAAGAAAGTAATTAGCCAGGAAATATCACAAGCGGGTTCATTGGTGGCTTTTGATCGTCTCAGGTTTGATTTTAACTTCCACCGTGCTCTTCATGATAATGAGCTTAAAGAAATTGAAGAACTTATCAATAGATGGATTGAGGATTCAACACTTCTTCAAACAAAAGTGATGCCTCTCACGGATGCAAAAGAAGCTGGTGCCATTGCAATGTTTGGGGAAAAATATGGCGAAGAGGTATATTAATGAGATTTACTAAAACAATGAACTTATGTTTACATCTTACCTTTGGTACAAGTTCCACTGTTCTTAATTGATCCTCTAATGAATATTGAACCTCTCAAATAATTGTAGTGTGATTTTAATATTATGTGACATGGTTTTTTGTTTGTTAAGTCTCAGTAATGGAAGGCATTTCTTTTTTAGATTTCTGCTTGTGTGGCTGAAGAAGATTTTTTTTTTTTTTTTGGGCCACAGAAGAAGAATGTTGATTTCAGAAAAGTATAAGGCTTCCTGTTGGAATTATTTATAGTCATGTTTCCCTTCTACGTGCTCGTGGTAGCTTGCCTCTTATAATGTTGTCACTTTCGATCTTTCTAAAAGACACTAGTTCATGCTAATTTTTTTCTCATTCACATGTTACAGGTCCGTGTTGTAGAGGTTCCAGGTGTGTCTATGGAACTTTGTGGTGGGACCCATGTCAGTAATACTTCAGAAATACGTGTCTTTAAAATAATCTCAGAGCAGGGGATTGCATCTGGAATCAGACGAATAGAAGCTGTTGCTGGGGAAGCATTTATTGAATACATCAATAGCAGGGATTCCCACATGAAGAACTTATGTTCCATGCTCAAAGTAAACCCTTACATTTATTAGGATTTTAGTTTCTGCAGCAGATGGTTTCTTCATTTTTTTTTGCTTTTCTGGTACATAAAACATCCTCCCATAAACAGCAGAGTTTTTGAATGCAATTTAATTTCGATACTGTGAAGGTCAAAGCTGAAGAAGTAACAACCAGGGTAGAAAATCTCATAGAGGAGCTGAGACTGGCAAGAAATGAAGTCTCTGCTATGCGTGCTAAAGTGGCAGCCTATAAAGCATCAATAATTGCAAGCAAGGCCTTCCCTGTAGGAACCTCACAGAAGATAAGGTTAGTTTCTTCTTCCATTTCTTTTCCAAGTCTAAGTCGCTCTACTTTCAAGTGCTAATGAAAGTAGATAATTGCAAGTCATAGGATTTCCAGAATTCTTGTCACAGGGATTTTTCCTTTTCTTAATTTTTTTATTATTATTATTTTTTCATTTCTCATAAAATATACACTTTATTAGCAAGAATTCTCACTATTCTGAGGATTGCTTTTGTTGTATATGTTTCCTCATCTTACACTTGGATGTTGAAGGAAAAATTACTAATGACCAAAAAAGAAAAAAAAAAAGAAAGAAAAAAACTAACTTTTGCTTTATTATGGAATATGTTGATGATTTTTGATTCCTTGGTTTTCCAACTTTCTATGTCAGGGTACTGGTTGAGTCCATGGATGATATTGATGCTGATTCTCTAAAAGGTGCAGCTGAACATCTGATTGATACACTACAAGATCCAGCAGCTATAATCCTGGGCTCCTGTCCAGGTGAAGGGAAAGTGAGTTTAGTTGCTGCATTCACTCCAACAGTGGTTGGTCTCGGTATTCAGGCAGGAAAATTTATAGGTCCTATAGCTAAGCTGTGTGGTGGAGGAGGTGGTGGCCGACCCAATTTTGCTCAAGCAGGTGGAAGAAAGCCTGAGAATCTGCCAAGTGCACTACAAAAGGCTCGGGAAGATCTTGTCTCGCTTCTAGCTGAAAAAACAAGTTGAAACAAGTTGTAACATGTATATGTGGTCAAATTACGTTCCAAAAGCTTTATTGCAGTTCTGGGTAGATCTTGGCGATAGCATGCTTTGATTTTTGCTACGTGGAAAACCTTTCAGCAGCTGATTTATGGTGGATGGGAGGAGAAAACTGTACAGTTAGTGTCACAAATGTAGAGGTAACACCACATTCTTTTGAAACCTTGATATGTATTACCTAACCTTATCTTCAAAACCTTTCTTGTTTAATAGCACTTGAAATATTTATAGGCTGAAAATGAATAGTCAAAGGAGAACAGTTATACTCTCAACTAGAAATTAACTAATGACCATTTATGGTGCTCCATAATGCCATATGATTCTATGATATTGGTTTTATCAGTGTTTCCTCCACATGGGTTCTTCTTTCTTTTCTCTTTTTTTTTTTATTATTTTATTATTATTATTATTGATCTTGATTGTATAATTAGAAGTAATCTTCTTTCATCTCTTTACCACACTTTATCCACCCACATTTCATGTAATTTGAATTCAAGATTTCTTATTTTTAGCGAAAAGAAATTACAATTAAACTGTTTGGGTCATTGGCTCCACAGGTTTTTCTTGTTTTAGTTTTATTAAACTATTAATCTTTATGCAAACACAAAAGATGTGCCTGTTTAGTTGCTGAGAAATGTACCAAAAGGCAAAGGAAAATTTGAGATTGAGCGTTATGGGTTGGACCAACCCTAATCCTAACTCCCACCTCCCAGGACTCACAGCTTTGGTCTTTGTTTGACTTGAGGCAGCTGGATCCAACTGCTTTATTGCAATGAATTTGGTGTCCATTAAAAGAGTCTAATGATGATACCAAATTCATTGTCCATGGACAAAAGTTCATCATTTTGAATGCTACTTCTTTGACTCTGAGGAAACCAGGATGAAGCAGCTGTTTTTATGAATGGAGTTACTCTGTTTTGGAAAAACTGTTTCCCAGCCTGGCAAAAAATGGTTGCCAGTCCTGTCTGGAAATTACCCTTATGCCCTTCAGGAGGCTCGTCCATGTTGGGCTCTCATTAAGGGCATAAAGGTCATTTCAAGGCAAGTCAGACTCATTACGATAAACCTGTTAAGGGAACCAGGGAAATATCTGGATGACAAAAAGAATCCAAATTCTCCATTTATGCAAGCTGTTACAATATTGAGTGGGAAAATAATAACACTCTATTTTTCTACTAAGTCTCATCAATCTCTTTTTCAACTTTATTTTATTTTATTTTATTTTTTGTGGTTTGGAGTTGGATCATGAAACTATTTAAAATAAGTTTGCATAATTCATTAAAAAAAAAAAAAAAAAAACCCGCTAACTCTAGAACTCCTAAAATAGGGAAGGCCTTCCCTAATAAACAATGTCATCAGTCTCTTAAACCAAAAGGTGAAACAGGACCGTTTTAGAAACAGGGGCAGCATGAGAAGTATTGAAACCTTTGTCCCTTGCAGTCTAACGTATCCACAACTTTTTTTTAATTATCTAAATAATTTAGTGATAATTTATTTATATTAAAAATAAAAATTTTTAAATTTAAATCACGTAATATGTTATTAGATTGAAACAAGAGATAAGATATTATTGCTTTAAAATAAAATAAAATAGAAAAACACACCAAATCCGCAACTCTTCTTTTTTCGTACGCAGAGAGTCGGTGACAGTTTCTTCAATTTTTTTTGCCGTTCTGTTGTGTTCCCTCCGCGTTTCCGGAAATCCCTGTCTCTTTCCTTCCTTTCCCCCTCACCCTTTGTCACCATAATTCATATAAAATCATCCCCAAACCACTTTTTATAATCAAATTCAATCAATTTCCTGTCTTCTTTTTTTGTTTTTTATTTTAATCAATTTCATATCTTGATTTTGTCATTCATATCACGCGAACATGCTGACCTGTATTCCACACTGAAAGCAATACCAAACTCTCCTATATATAAGCTTGAGCACGCCTGTTTCTTTGCTCATCACATACTTGACATCTTTGGTTCAGAAAAATGGCTTTGTTTTTGTGCTTCTTCTTCTTCTTTCTAATTTCCTATGCTTCTGCTTGTGATCGCTGTGTTCATCAATCAAAGGCTGCTTATTTCTCCAAGGCCCCTGCTCTTTCGTGTAAGCTTCAAGATTCCTCCTTTCTTCTTTCCTTTTTTTGATTTTCGATTGATACCCAGATCAGTTTTGTTATCAAAAAAACAAAATTGGCATAGACCCAGATGATATTTCTATAAGTATTTTAGTGGGTAAGATTTGTTTTCTTGGTTTGATGCAGCTGGGGCTTGTGGGTATGGTTCCTTGGCTATTGGCTTCAATGGTGGACACCTTGCAGCTGGTGTTCCTTCTCTTTTCAAAGATGGAGCTGGTTGTGGCGCATGTTTTCAGGTTTTTAAAATGCCATCTTGAATCTTTCTTCTTTTGGGTATATTTGATCTTTAGATGTACAATAAAATGACAGTCTCAAAGTTCGAACTTGAAAGAGTCTATTCTAACCATTTAAATGTTTTGTGCAGATAAGATGCAAGAACACAACTCTGTGTAACAGCAAAGGAACTAGAGTGATTCTGACCGATCTCAATTACCACAACAAAACAGACTTTGTTCTTAGCAGCAGAGCTTTCAAGGCCATGGCTAACAATGGCTCGGATCGAGAAATTTTGAAACATGGAATTCTAGACGTGGAATACAAGAGGTGAGCTTATGCCAGACATTTTATTTGACTTTGAGCAAAAAATTTCCTTGGATGATAGTTCTGTCAAACCCACATAATAAATCAAAAAATTATGGGTCAGCCGTCAGCCCAGCGGGGTCGGGTCATTAATGACATTAACGGTCCAATATGTTCCTTTTTCAAGCACGTGTTGCGTATATTTCAATGTCCAAGGAGTCACATTAGTGTCTATAACTATAACCATATCCATGTCCAATGTTATTTGGGGTCTTTCCCTTCCCAAAAAAATGTCTCAATTAGAAATTTGAGGATCACGTAGCTGAATTTACTAATTCATTTGGTTAAAATTTATCAGGGTACCTTGTGTATACAAGAACCAGAATTTGGCAGTGAGGGTGGAAGAATCTAGCCAAAAGCCAAATTACTTGGCAATCCAGCTGTTGTACCAAGGAGGCCAGACAGAAATAGTAAGCATGGATGTAGCTAAGGTTGGTTCTTCAAGTTGGAATTTCATGAACCGGAAATCCAGTGCCGTGTGGGAGTCTAGCAGGGTACCGGGGGGGGCATTGCAGTTCAGATTTGTGGTAACGTCTGGGTATGATGGGAAGTGGATTTGGGCAAAGAGTGTGCTTCCGGCCGACTGGAAAACTGGGGTTGTGTATGATACCGGAGTTCAGATCACTGACATTGCTCAGGAGGGTTGCTTTCCTTGTGATGAAGGGAATTGGAAATGATCAAATGATGAAGAGGTTTTGACTTTTCAGATTGATCTACTGTGAATACACCCTTTTTCTTTTTCTTTTTTTCATCTGAGCGTGAATAATTTAGGAGTAGAAAATGAGGTGAAGAAAAGAGAATTGTTATAAGGACATGTCTTGTAATGTTCTTGGTGATGTTTAACTTATTTATTTCCTTCAATAAAATGCTCATTCTTTGTTTGTTAAAGTAACTTGTAATCTTGCTGAGTTAATACTTAAAATTAATTTTAAAAATTTGATCTAAAGTGTAAGCTTGCAATGTGAAGCAACTAATTTTCAATGTAAAAACACACACAAAAGAAAAAAAGAAAAAAAGAAACTTGCAGCTTAGAAATATGGCAAAAAAAAAAAAAAAATTGCACTGAAGATTCTTTGTTAAGTTAAGCAATAAACAACTTGTGGTTATCTTAGATATGCATTCAACCTCTTTACAGTTTTCCTAAAGAAGACAAATTAGTTTTATATAAGATTTTAATGTAAATCTACTCATCCTAAATGGGTAAACTTATTGTTCAATGAAGAACATCCTAGTAGTAGCTTAATGGCTACCATCTTTTTGTTAGGTATTTCTTATGTAAGTTTAGAAATATGGAGTTGAAGTCTCTCATCTATAATGTTAAAAAAAAAAAAAAAGAACTTATTGTTCAATGGACAAACTACATGTTCATTGTTTAAGTAAAGAAAAATATGATGGCAGTTGAAACTATATTAAACTGCATAAAATTAACAATTAAGTAAAAATTAGC